CCGGCGCGGACCGACAGACGGGCTCCCCACCGGCCCTGGCGGCCGAGTCGCTTTTCCAAGAGGCCCCTGGGTCTGTGTGTGCTGCTGTTTCGGGATGAACATGTCCAAATCCGGGCCAGGAGCTTGCTGAGTGACGTGCCTGGCAGCTCTCCTGGGCTTTCTCATCTCGCCACAGTCCCTGCCGGTGGCCGCTTCCAGCAGCGTGGTACTCTGGTGGGAGAGCAAGTAGTTACTCGTGCGTTCCTGCAGCCCCTGGCAGCGTTTAGTATGCTTGAGTTGATTGCCCTGGTGCCTCGAGGTCAGTTTGTCCCCCCCGATAGCGTTTGTGTGTCTGTCTCTCGAGATCAGGTCAAAAATAAGTTCCCTGAGTCGTGTTTTAGCAGAAGGACAGAGCAGCTGCTTTTAGGCAGACGTTGGTTCTGTTCCATCCATTCTTTGTGCTTTTTCATGTATAGAAACATGTCAAAACGTGTTTGGTGTGTGACTGGTGAGGAGCTGCTCTGAAGGCCTTCGAGTGGCACTGGAATTCATTAGAATGCCATTAATGATGCAGTTCTCCTGAAAAGTCTCTGATTTTCATCACAGGCTTAGGGCATGAGGACAGAAACATTTTTTCATGTCGTTTTTGGCGTTCCCTCACTTCACTCCCCAGCTGCAGCAGCCCTGGGGGTTTCTCTTGGATCCCAAGTCAGGGTCATGCTCTTTGCAGACACTTGTCTGTCACCAGGGCCACGGCCTTCCAGCAGAGAGACTGAATCCAGACAACAAAGCCTATTCTTGACATCATTGAAAGGCTGAGCACATCTCTTGCTGTCGTTTAGAAAACCCAGAGTTATTTTAGGCTGTGAATTGTTCCTCGTGCTGCCAGGAGGAGAGCACTCAGCCAGGCACACCTTGCAGCTCAGCCTCTCCTGCCCTTGTGCAGCAAACATCCGCTGGGATGTGTCATGTGTTCCTTGCAGACTTGGTTAATCCCTCCTCTCCAGCAGTTGTGGTGATTCAGAGGAGCCACGTGTGGGGCAGATGGTTCCAGCCAATGAAATCTGATGAGGAGGGAGGTGGAAGAGGTGACTGCCCACTCCCTGGTGTGTTTAGCCTCTGGCAGTGGCTTCCAAAAGTCAAGCTTGAGAATGAAGGTGTTTGGGAGCTCAGGTCAATGTCCTCAGGGTTTTTTTCTCAGTCCTGCATTGCTCTCCTGCTCTGTCTGGAAGCATGGTGGTGATGTTAAGGTGACTTTCTCCTGTGGAATTCCAGCTGGTGTTGGCTCAGCAGATGAGAGGAATTGGAGTTGACAGAAAAGCCACGTGAAGGACAGAAAGCTTTATGCAGGGGGGAGTTCCAGAATCTGCAAGAGCAGGAGTTCTGAATGTGCTTTTAGAAAGCAGTCACCTGTCTGTCCTACAGTACTGAGCTCCCAGACCACTCTGGAATGAAGCCTTTCAGCCTAAAGCTTTGGCCACCAGTGCAAATTTTTCCTGTAGCATAAAATAAAATCCCTTGTTCCCAGCACAAACTTCTCTTTGAGGATTTCCTTTCCAATTCTAGCCAGACTAGTGACATAAAGTGTGAGATCTGAAGCAACCAAGTTGTTGAAGGCTAAAAAAGGGCTGTTTTGGTTGTTTTTTTTTAAAGTATGACCAGTTCTTTAAGTCTCTCTCTGTGACATGTAAACTTTATATATAATACAAAAATCCTAACAGGCTCTAATCAACTTGCTTCTTATTGTACTGAAGTCTTTGCAATAAAGGTGTTTTAATAGTCTGTTCATCAAGCAGCAGAGCTTGTTAAAAAGGTGATTCTCAGCAAAGAAGAGTCACCTGTTTAATTGAATCTTAGTTAAATCATTCTTGTTCAGGATTTTCTATCTATTCTTGCCTGTAATAAATCTAGAGGAAAGTTTAGGGCAGCAGACAGAAACTTGAATTTAGCATTGATTACCAACATCACTTTCAATGTATGGGTGGCCCCAGCTTGGACTCTGAAGTGTGGATTTCCCCCAGGAGTGCAGGTTTCTGTGCAGAATGCACAGATCTGTGGGAGATAAATCCACAATATTGGGTGAAAATGGAGCTTTGTGGGAAACCTGCAGCTGGCTCCTGCAAGTTTGTGCCTTGTGTTGTTTGAGCTCGACTCTATTACCCAGGAAACCAGAAAATGCCAAGTTCAGAGGATGTGCAGGGAAGTGGGGACAGCCAGGCTGGGTGCCAGGGTGGGCATGGCAGAGTGCCAGCCCTGGTGGTGGTATGGCAGTGCCAGCTCACTGCCAGCTGACACCCCAGATCTCCCTGGGCAGGTCAGCAGCCCCCAGTGTGGTGTCTCCTTTTTCCTGTGCTGCTCCCTTCTGTGCCACTCGTAGATAGGAGAGGCTTCTTTATCTTCCAGACACATGAAGCAGCTGCAAAACTGAATTGGGAAACTGAATTTTTTTTTTGGACTGGCCCAATGATGTGCTCAGAGGTGCTTGGGAGGGTTTGGTGACACAGCAGTTTTGGTGTCATTAGAAGCCCAGGTTTGCAAGCAGGGCAGGAGAACTGTAGCTCTTTGCAGATGCTCCTTTTGAGGCCAGAGCCTTTGAATCAACCACTGCTGTCAGTGAAGGTGAGAGCCCTGAGAGATCCTGAGTAAGCTTGCTATCAAATGTAAGTATTTCCATGACAGCCTGTGGGCCAGCTGATGAAAATCTCACTAGCAGAGGCTGTTGAGCTCCAGCCTGTTGACATCACAGGCCTGATTTGACAAAAACAAACCATATCCTGCTTGGCTGAGCACCTGAAAAGCTGCAAGTCCTGGGTTAGAAACAAGGGAGGTTACTGGGTGAGAACACCTGTTTGAACAGTCTCCTACTTAAGCAGCTCTTTGCTCTTTCCCCTCTTGCTGCCCTGGTGTTTGAGGATCCCTGTGAGTATCTCACAGAGCTCCTGGGACAGACAGAAATCACCTTTTGCAGCCTGGGGCATATTTGGGACTGTTCTGTAAGAGTGTGTGAGGCAAAGAGGCCCTGCACTTGGCCTGTCATGGTAAGATTGAAGGCATGTTTGTGTAGCTTGTGCCCTCTGATTTTGGGTTCCTTTTGGGTAATGTTTAACCATAGTTTTGAATCTGGAATATGACCCATTAGACTAAGCTGTAGGTCAAAAGCAAAACCCATGACCCACCTGGTCACTTACTGTGTTTCTGAAGCCCACTACTGGAGATGATGATTAGCTGCTGACTGTTTCTATGCTTTGTTGTGTTCTGAATTAACAGAAGTCCAAGAAAAGAGCATGGACCAGCCCAGTGGAAGGAGTTTTATGCAAGTTCTTTGTGAGAAATACAGCCCTGAGAACTTCCCCTATCGCCGTGGGCCTGGCATGGGGGTGCATGTCCCAGCCACTCCACAAGGCTCACCTATGAAAGGTAAGACTCTGGTCCTTCTGGGCATCTCTGGGGTTCTGGGTGGGATCAGTTTCTTGGCTGTGCTTGCTTGTGTGGAAAGAAGAATCACCCTGAATTGTCCAGAAGCAATATCACCATGTATTTTAGTGTTTTGTACTGAAGAGCTGAGAGGCTTGGGCTCTGTTCTTAAGGCATCAGATGTTCTCTGAGCATGCCTGTGCTGAACTAGTGGAGAAATCCTCCCTCTCCTTTGCTCCTTACCTTACTGCCTTGAGGGAGTTTCAGACAGATGTGTGGCTGAAGCACTGTGCTGCCCGTGGATGTCCTTGAGCCTCCCAGAGTACAGAATCTGTGTTGTTGTTTCCTGCTCTTGGAACTGGATCCATTTGGACAGCCTTTAGTCTTCCCTCTGATGTTAGCATTTGGTTCCTGGTTTGCACAGATGAGCCTGTGATTCACATTTATCCCACTAGAACTGCCCCTTCTTTGTGTCATCTGTGGCCTGTCTTGATGTGTAAGGGTAGTTTAAATTTCTGTCAGGTCAGTTTGTCTCATAACCAGCCCCAAAGTGAGAAAGAGTTGTGGAAGTCAGCTGGATGGAGTTTATGGGAAATGAATTTGACAGAGGAGAAAAAAGGGCTCGAGTTCAGCTGAGGATAAAACATACCACGTGTCACTCAAAATGAACATGAGCACAAAACTGGAATCTTGATGGAATCTTGAGTCCATGCCCACTTCCCTGTGCACAAGCAGCTGCTTACCTGAGCTGTTTGAAAGGAGGTTGCTGTGGTGAGTCTTCCAAGGTGATTGAGGCATGACTTAGAAGTGCATCTGAACTCATTCCTGAAGTACAACACTGTTCTTTGAAGAAGCCAAACCCTAATGAGGTAGGAAACCTGAAAACTCAGGTCACTGAGTTAATTGTCTGCTGTTAGAATCCCTCCCTAGATATGCAACTGGCAAGCATTAAGGAGAGAGGAAAAGGGCCAACTTCTTAGGAAAAAGCTTGTTGTTAAATTTTAGCAGATTCTGATCCTCCCCCAGAGGTGGGAGAGCTGTATTGTGTGTGAAGGAGTGTAAGGCTGCCCTGCCTAAATGTGGATTTCTCCTGTTAAGATGGTTTCCTGGTACAAATCCACACCTTTTAACTGTGCCACGTTTTGGCCTTAGGAAGTGAGGCTGTGATTGGGATCCCAGTCCCTGTCTGTGCAGTAGCTGTGAGGATTTTCACCTGCATGAGAAGGGACTAAAACCCAAGCAGAAAAAAGGCAGAGTAGAGACCTAAGTTATTCTAGGATGTAAGAATGCAAAACCTGCTATTTTGTTGAACAGGAAAAGCTTAGAAAATAACTGTTTAAATATATCCTTGCTGTTCCTAACCCCAGGTGGGGGAAGTACAAGAGGATAAGAGTCTGACCCTGTGCAGCTAAGGGTCCACCTCTCCCCTGCCCTATCTGCAGCAGCAGATGCCTGGGGGGGAAGGGAAGAGGGTAAGTTCTGGCAAGAGCTGATAGGAGCCCTGCTGTGAGCTGCAGAGGACTGGCCTGTGGGCAGAGATGTGTGCAGGAACTGAGGGCACTGATACCCAGAGGCACTTCCTGAGAAGCCTTCTTGATTGACCTGGCTCAGTTGTCACCAAAGCCAACGTTTAACCCTCTCAGCCTGAAGTAGGTGTAAATCGTGGGCTGATGGGTAGATGTTTTCTTTTGCTAAATGCCCTGTTTGTTTGTTGCCTTCTGGAGCTAAGCAATTCCCTGCTGACCAGAGGGCATCTTTTTCTTTCTCCCTGTCTCAGATCGACTCAACCTGCCCAGCGTGCTGGTGCTGAACAGCTGTGGCATAACCTGTGCAGGGGATGAGAACGAGATCGCTGCCTTCTGCGCTCACGTCTCTGAGCTGGACCTCTCTGACAACAAGCTGCAAGACTGGCAGGAGGTAAAACAGTGACACCTGCATCTTGCTGAATAACTTGGGTGGCTATTGCTATGGCTGCAAACACGTTGCAGGTTAGAGGAGGGCTTTGTTCATTTAAAGGAGAGAGATTTCAAATTTTTGGTGGTTTCTTTCTCATCTTTGAGGCTGAGGCTTATTTACTTAGACAACACCTGAGCAATAAACATGATGAATTTAATCCATTGGGGCACTTCACTTACCTTATGAGTTAGGATCTTGGCCTGTGAGTGACAAATAGATATATTTCTCTTTTTTTATTGTGCAAAGGACCAGAACTGACATCTAACATCCAGAGGTTAACGAGAAGTGTGGTTTTTAGCAGGATAAGAACTGAGGAGGTCTGAGTTATGGGAGCTGATTCCCAGCTTTGCCAACAATTCCATGATGCTGAGCAAGGTGTTTATTTGCTCTTTTGTGTCCCTATCTGCAAAGCAGGTTTAATAACATTTACCTCAAAGGATATTTCTGAGGCCTCAGTAATTAAAGCTAAATGCTATTGTAAAATGCTGTGAAGTGCTTGGATGAAATACACCAGAGAAGTGCTCCCTAATACATGTAAAACTATTGCAGTCTGTTCCAGTGTCATTAGCAGTTCCTCACTGGTTTATGCTCTGCTTTTATGTTCGTGTTTATTGTTGGAAACATGTGGAAAAGAACAGGATGTGCAACATAAAAACTTATCATGTGTTTCTGTGGCATCCAACTCCTGTGTCTTTGAGCAGGGAGTGAGTGGGGTGTTGGCAGAAGTGTCCCAGCTCTGGCATGGGGGTCACACAGTCAGAAGTGGGATAGGATTCCCTGTTCCTCTTATTTTTCCTTGTTAGCCTAGAAGGTGTGAGCTCAGCATGTTGGAGAGAGATCTGAGGCTTGCCTCATGACTTTAGGGAAGAGGGTTTTGTACTGAGAGCAAACCTGCTAAGAACTGGGACGGTGTCTCCTGGGTGGTTTTATTCTGACCCCAAAGAGCCCCCCTCCCACAGTCAGTGCCATGGTGCTGCCTCTTGCTCTCAGCTGGGTTCACCTCACATCTGGTAAGCAGCTGGGAGAGCTGCACACCCCCTCCTCAGTCAGAAGCTGCATGCCTTGCACTCTGCTCTTTGCTCAGTCTGGTGAGATGACCCTGGGTGGCACAACTTGCCAGCTTCTGCATGAGCCACACAGCAAAGCAGACCATGAAAGGCTTTGGCCCCCTCCCTCTGAGTTGAGATGGAGTTTTCATAGCCCATCCACAACAGAGAAACATCCACCCAACTCTTAAATGCCACTGATGGGGATTCCAGATCCCTGGATAGCCTGTTCCCATGCTCAGCTCATAGTCTAAGCTATATAACTGAAGTCTCCCATGCTGCAATTGAAGCCAGGTGCTCCCTGCTCTGCTCTCCACAGGCATGGTGGAGCACTCATCACTGTTCCTTCCACAGCAGCCTTTTATACCCATGAGGAAGAGCTGTCATGTCTCCTATTCCTATTTTAATGTAATACTGAAAAGACCCAGTTGGACTCATCATCCATTGTAGGCCAGCTTTCTAAATCCTGTGTTGTTTTTGTTGCTCTGATATCATTCCAGTTTGTCCACTTCATTCCTAAGGTGTAGTGCCCAAAACATGACATCACCTAAGGTGAGGTGTGAAGCAAGGCAGACTAATTCCCTCCAGCATCACTTCTGCAGTGCCTGAATTCAGCCTCTGCATGAGACAATTGTCCTTGGGCAGCAGCTGGGCCCTGGTATTGACCTGTTTATGTCATGGTCTCTCAACTCCTCCCATCCCTGTTGCTTTGTGGAGTGGAGCTTTCTAGCCTCTGACTCATAGTTTTTTTTCTGGTTGAATGTCTTTTTCCTTGAATGTTGGTAGTTCAGCTGTCCTTGAGCTGAGCTTCCATCTTAGAGGTTTCAGATGGCTGCAGTTTGGCCTCTAGTCTTGCACCATAACGTGACAACAGCTTTTCCCACCTTAGTATCACCCAAAAATCAGGAAAACACGTGTTCAATTATTCTGGTCACTGAAAACATGAGTAGTATTCTGCTAGCACAGTCCCTCAGTAGGTCTGCTAGCTTTGTGTTGAACCTTGGGTGCTGCCCTGGGCATTGGCAGTCCCCATTTTGCCTGTGTGGGTGGTGTTGGAAGCTGTCCTTCCCCTACACTGCTTCCCACTGAATCAGTGACCCAGCCAAACTGATCCTGCCTGGCTGCTCTGCTCACCTCATGGTTATTACATGCCTACCAAGTGATCATCTAAATAATCTATTCCTGTGTATTTTTACATATTAGCAGCACCTAGTCCAGCACCTCCCCCAGATGATCCATTTTGTACCTTGCACTCCAGAGCTGCACAGTCCTCATCTCTGGCTTTTCTTTCTCTTTCTTGATCTTTCTTCCTTACCTCTGCTGCTTTGCCCTCAGGTGCACATCCCCAAGCACAAAAAGAGCAAGTAGCCCCAGGCAGAGTTACCTGAACAGCTGGATTGGTTGTAAGGAAGCTGCTGTTTCCAGAGTAAGGGAATAGAACAAGAAATTCATTGTATGTGCACAGTGAGCTTCTACCTGTGTTTTACACTGGGCAAAATGGTGAGGTCTGTGGCTAGTGGGGAGCAGTGAGTGGAAAGCTGAGCAGGTCACCACAACATTTGCCATGAGCTGATGTGCTAAGAGAGGGGTGCAGCACGCTGCCCTCTGTAACCTGCTGCTGCTGGGGCTTGGTGCTGAGGTGGGTTTTATGACCTCTCCCAAGAGACTGGCTTTCTCTTATCAAGCTCCTTGTAGTGTGTGGAGGTGAATGAGCAATTAACCAATCAATCCAGATGGGTGAACAGCTGAAGCATGAATTACAGGTAGTTATCCAGAAGCCTTATTCTTTCCCCCATATCATTCTTGGCTCGTGGTGATTCCGAAGGGCCCCTTTTTAGGAGCTGGGGTATTATTGCATGAGGTCTGATTACTGCCTGATACACATCTCTTTCTTTCTCTTTTTTTTTTTTTTTTCCCCTCCCCACTTAGGTCAGTAAAATTGTGTCCAACGTTCCCCACTTGGAGTTTCTAAACTTGAGTTCCAACCCTCTCAGTTTGTCCGTTTTAGAAAGAAGTTGTGCTGGGTCTTTCGCTGGTGTTCGCAAACTTGTGCTCAACAACAGCAAAGCTTCCTGGGAAACAGTCCACACAATCCTGCAGGAATTACCAGAGTAAGCATGGGGAGCTGGGCTTAGAAAGGGGTGCTGGCTGCAGGCAGGTCAAGGCTGCCTTAGCAAATCTCGTGGTGAGGGATCAGAGGGGTGTGAGGATGCGAACGTGATCGGTAGAGATAAAAAGGGAATTCTTTTTCTCTGGGAGCTTGGGAACTGGCCAGGTGAATGCTTTACATTGCCCTAAAAGCTGAGCTTATGTGGTGCTGCAAAGCCTGGGGCTTCTCATCCACGTCCCAGAGATGGGTAATCACTGTAACAATGTAGGAGGTGACTGACATTCCTCTGAGTCACTGCAGGATGAATGGTGCGGTGCATACCTGGACTAATAGCTTCTGAATGGGGTGTAAGTCTCAGGGCCTGGCCACTTGTCAAGTAATATTTTGTCATGCTTTTCTGTGCAAAAGTGTTGATTTCTGTGGCTTGGCCACAGTCCACCTTGGCAGTGGCATTCTGCTCCTGCAAATGTCCTCAGTGGCTTCATTTTGATACCAGATTCCTCTTCGTACGGCTTTGTAAGTGGAGCTGATGACAGCAGTATGTCCTGTGTGCCAAGACATGCTTTCCTGGGATGAGGAGAGCTGGTTTACTTGCCTGAAAACTTCATGGGGCATGTTCTTTCTTCGGCAGAGCCAATGATAAGTGGAAAAAAGTGTCATCTGTGTTGTATAAAAACACCTTAAATAGCATGGGGAGCGTTGAGAGTAGGTGCCGATCACCCCTGGAGCTGGGTTGGTGGCTTGTTGGGCACCAATATGGCACATGACCCCGAGCAATCTGTTACACACTGAATACTGGGAGGCTAGGGGAACACTCAGGGCTTTTTTTCATCCAAGGAAGTTTACAGATGGGAGCAGAAACGTAGTTGAAGCGCTCCATTTGGAGAGCTCAAAGGCCTTCTCTGCACCCAAGTTTCAAATGACATGAGAGCTGGTACAGAAAGCTGTGGAAAGGTGCATATGGATACCCCTGTACCTGGGAGGTTAGCTCTTTCTCAAGGTATGTTGAGATGATGATATGATCTCTCTCTCCCTGTTCAGCTTGGAGGAGCTCTTCCTGTGCCTTAACGACTATGAAACAGTGTCTTGTTCCCCAGTTTGCTGTCAGTCTCTCAAGTTACTCCACATAACCGACAATAATCTTCAAGACTGGACTGAAATTCGTAAACTGGGAATTATGTTTCCATCACTGGACACCCTTATTCTGGCTAACAACAACCTCACGACCATCGAGGAGTCGGAAGATTCCCTGGCAAGGCTGTTCCCCAATCTGAGGTCCATCAATTTGCACAAGTCAGGTGAGAGCCTGGGAGCAGGATGCTTTTAGCAGCCTCTTTGTTCTCAGCGTGAGTGACAGCAGTTGATCAGAGCCTCTCCTGAGTGGATGAAGAGCACACTTGCCTTGTGCTGCTGGAAACTGTGACCTTGGGATGATTGCTGCTGAGGTCTGTGTCAGCAGTAAGCAGCCTGCACTCAGCATTGCTTGCTGCAGAGTTTGGAGGGGGCAGGTGAAGGCAGAAGTGCTGAGCAAGAGCCTAAAACCTTTGGGTTAGTTCTGTTGCTGTAGCAGAGATGAAAATGCCTGGTGAGCTTCATCCCAAACTCATCTGGCTTTTTGGCAGCACTGAAAAGCTGTTAGCAATGTAGTCCCCACAGACCTAGCAGCTGAAGGTCAGGGCCACACAAGCACGTGTCCTGAAGTGCACTGACCTGAAGAAGATAGTGTTAGGAGAGGAAAAATGGGTGAGAAATCAGCTTCTCTGTCTCTGTGGGCCCTACCTGTTGCTTTGGGTAGTTAGTTGTTATCTAATAGATGAGTTAGACTTGCAGTTATTCAAAATGAGCTGCCAGAGGTTTTTTACTTCAGTAGTTTCCCCTCTGTTTCCTGTCCCTGCCTCAGGTGCTCCTGACTGGAAAAGGATAAATGGATGTCTGGCAGTGGAGGGGATGAAAGAATCCCATTGGCCATTTATTCCCTGTTTTATCTTGGGTAAAATGAGTGTGTGTGTAGACACGTGGCATGTGAGGGCTGAAGGCTCACCAGCAAAAGCTGCCTGGCTGTGCTCAGTTATTAGCAACTCACCACAAGTTGTGCTGGAGGCTGCTTTTTACACCTCATCCCCAGAGAATTTTCAGCCAGTGCTCCAGGAAGAGAATCAGCATTTTGGCATACCAGGAAGGGCACCCCACGCTCAGGAAAAGGGAGCTGCAGGGCAGCTCGTGAGGGCTGTGGCACGTTTGTGAGATGACACCTAGGCCTGTTCTTCTGCACAAGTACTTAATTCATCATCATCTTTTGTTCCTTACAGCTTTATGTATGCTGTGCAAGGGATAGTTAAGTGTTAGCTGAGGTAGGAGGTGCTTTATTAACACACTCTGCAATGTAAGCATGAAGGAATCTCTATAATAAAAGCTTAAAGCTAACTAGAGGAAGAAAAGCCTGTTAAGCTGGATTTGAAAGCAGTGTCTCACTGAGGAGCAAGCTCTCCTTTGGTAAGGAGTTCTGCAGTTTTGATGCTGGGTTTAAGAACTGTGGATTCTGTATTGCATTTGGAGACTTTGGGAGCTGAAAGTCAAACAGAAATCCCAAGGAGCAGGTTCAACTTGTTTTGGCTTTTTTTAGGGAAAGCTGCACTCTGAAACTCTGTCACACGAAGATGTCAAACTGGCTCCTGTTTCTGCAGGGTCTTTTAGCTTAGTGGGGATCAGAGATGAGCTGAGGATGATGTGTTTTAGTGAAGAAACAGCACAAATGGGGTCAGGAGGGGATGAGCAGCTTTTCCTGCCGAGGAGGGTGCTGGCAGTTTCTCCTTCAGAGGTGGTTGTGTCTCTGCACTGGCTTTCCCCCAGCCACCAGAGCTTTTGGCCCTTTCAGAGTGGCATGGTTGAGAGGGGGACTGGGCACTCTTTGGTGGCACTGTGCCCCAGAGATCTGGTGGAAGAGTTCTGCTCCTCTTACAAACTTCTGCTTCATTTGTCAATGTCGCTGACACCAATACCCAGAGGGTGGCTTGAGGCATAGGTGAGCTGGGCAGGGGTGTTTGGAGCACTGTGGGGAGAGGAAGCTCTCCCTGCACCTCCCACACACAGTGCTCTGAGAGGTGTAGGAGTTTTGCTTCTGCTCAGAGAAGAGCCCCTTCTTCTGAGTTGTGCTTGTGACACAGTTTGGCCTTGAACTTGGCATTTCCTGACACACAGCTCAAATGAGACCCTTGATCTTGTTTGAACCAACTATTTTTCTGGGTTTTTTTTCACTTTTTCTGTACTGTGTGGGTGAAACTGTTGAATGTTGTGTGGAGAAACCAGTTTTGTAGCTGGCATTGCCAGTGTAAGCTTCTGGAGCAGTCGTTGGAGAAGCCCCATGGTGAATATTTCCCCAGCCTTAGCAAAGGGAAGCAAAGATGAGTAGTGTTCATCTCACCACGTAATCAGGGCTCTACTCTTGCTTCATCCTCAGCTTTTTTATTTTACCCCCTCTGCTTGCCTTGTTATCCCAAACATCAAGTCTTGAGGGGGCTGAAACTGAGTTAAAACCTTTTTTATTAAATGGCTGGTTGGATTCTGGGGCTGTTTTAGCACTGGGTTGTGAGCAGAAACGGGACCCAGGGTGGTCATGTGTGTGAGGCAGAGCCATTTGATGGCCATTTAGTGACAGATAGGATGACAGAAGTCCTGAAGACTTTTAATGCTACTTAAGGCAGCATCCCTTTATAGATACAGCCATCCTAAGTGGTGCTAGTCACTCCTCAGCAGTGAGGCCAAAGGCTGAATGGTCCATAAAAAAACAAAGCTCCCTAATCAGCCATGGACATCATCCTTCTAGGCTTATGAAACAGCACGAGAGACTTGAAACTAGGCTGTCCTGTAAGCAACTGAAAGAGATTTTTAGCAAAATGAGCAAAAAGCTGACACTGAAAGAACCAGCAGCAGGCACCTGCCTGTCACTTCTGTTCTTTCTGTGTCTGATCATCTCGGATACATGATGCTTAAATAAACACAGATAATAATACAAGTCTTTTCTTCCAAGCAGGTCTGCATTGCTGGGAAGACATCGACAAGTTAAATTCTTTTCCCAAGCTGGAGGAAGTGAAGTTGCTGGGAATCCCTCTGCTGCAGTCCTACACCACGGAGGAACGCAGGAAGCTGCTAATAGCAAGGTCTGATCCTTGTTTATGCTGCTGAGCAGAAGGGTTACGTGGCCATCAGTGGCTGGGAGCAGGAAATTGGGGGAAGAGGTTGTTAGGAGATGTGGGTTTGAATGAATTCAGCACTCAGAAAGCTTTGAGTATTATTTTTTTTAGTGTTTTTTTTTGTTGTTGTTGTATGGGAATAGTGGAAATATTAAGTCTAACTTGTCTACTCAGAAAATTCTGAGTCTGACACATGCCTGGGCACGTGATGCTTGCCTGTGTGAAATGAAAATGCTGCATTCTGAATGGGCTGGAGAAACTGTGTGGAACTGGATCTCTCTCTCTCTCAAGGGGACCAAGGCATGAGCTACCCGGCAGGATTCTCCTGGTGTTCCTGTTGTGGCACGTAGCTTTTGATGGTCGCTGTCATTTTGGTCACCCTGCCTGGGTTTCTCTGCTTGCTGACTGCATTTCTTGGTGCCTCTGTACAGGTTGCCATCCATCATCAAGCTCAACGGGAGCATTGTTGCTGATGGGGAGCGAGAGGACTCGGAGCGGTTCTTCATCCGCTACTACATGGAGTTCCCAGAGGAGGAAGTCCCATTCAGGTGGGAATTCTGTGCAGAGTGGGGGCAGCTGCTCCATGACAAAATCCTCCCTCGCCTTCTCCTGCCTCATCCTCCTCAGTCTGCTGTGGCTGTTGTCCTTGTGTCAGACTGATGACTTGTACCATTACTTCTGAGTCAGATTTGGTCTTAAAGTGTCTGCGTCAAGTGCCATTAAACAACGTGACCGTTCAGTGCATGATCTTCACTGCTTCCTGCCCCCCCTGATAGCTGGCTGCCTAATCCACCTGTGGGCAGGAGCCCCCAAAAGCCAGTACAGATCCTGCTCTCTGCTGCCAGGCTGGGGCATCTAATTCTCTTGACCATCTGGTGTGTGGCATGTGACCGGCGATGGGAAGCTGTCCGCTCGCTTTCAGGCCTGCACATCACAAGGCTGATGGTTTTTCTTTGCCAAAAAAGTATGCCCAATGATCTGCTCATCTTGGTAAACTAATGAACTTTGACAGATGTTGTTCAGTTGGTATCTTTTCTGTGCCAGCATCTACTTGCTGGTTCCTAATGGGCTGAGGAAGGATCATGGAGCATGAAGGCAGTGCCTTTATGTGCCTTTTACCCTAGAACCTTTTCAGACAACGAAGCTTCATAGCCCTCACTTTACAGAGGGGGGGTAGGATGAGAGTTGTGTGTGTGTGTGTGTTTGTCTCCAGAGGGACAGAGAGAGGTAGGAACAAACTGAGGTAGAGAAGGTTGAAGGTTTGGCCCCAGCACGGATGACAAAGGTGTGAATGGCATTCAGTGGCTGTTTGCAGGCTGATTGGTATTTCCCCCAGCTTAACTCTTAGGTAACCTGCCTCTTGTTTTTTGAGGGCACTGTGTATGTGACCTGCAGTACAGTAAGGGCAGGGGAAGGCTGGAATGGGGAATGAGGGCACGGCCTTTTGTAGGAATACTAATAGCCCAGTGATTATAGTATTTGTTCAAGGCGTGCCGGGGTCAGCTCAGAGGCAAAGGGTACTGATGTAGTCAGGGAGACAAGACAGCTGGTGATCTCTTGTGCCTTTTTCTGAGGACAAGTCCTGGCTTGTAATTTTAGAAGCCCTTGAAGCGGAAAAATTGAAAGAACTATTGGAAGGGATAGCAGGAGAGGTGGAGAGTGCAGGGGAGAGGGTGAGATGGGCACTGCGAGCTCCTGGGGGAGCTCCAGACAAGCCAAAATGGATTGTTTTTCATAGCTTTTTATTTTTATGAAAACTGTTTGGTGTCTCAGTTCGTGACTCTAGAAGGGGAGAGCAGCAGGGCAGCTGAGTCTGGCAGCTGCAGCAGAGTCCTGCCCTTAGGTGAGCAGGGCTTGGGCTGAGCTGGAAAACCAGCTGGGGGAAGGCAGGGCAGCCCCTCACACTGGAGGTGGTGCATTGGGTTGCAGACTGGGAGGGGAATTAAGGTGCCAGTAGCCCTTTGATCCTGGTGGAACAAGTGTGCTGCCTGGAGCTCAGGAGGAAGGGTTTGTGCATGAGAGGGAAGGTGAATAAATAGCTGGCAGGCTCTGAATCTTTTTCCTGGTGGATTTGTGTCTCTGGGTACTGTGGTGACAGGGGCCTTGCATGTCCAGGGCACAGTGCTGTGGAGAAGGATGGAGTGGGGTGTGGCTTTAGGCAGGCAGGGTGATACTGTCAGGACATGGACTTTGGGAAGGGGCTGTGTGCACTGATGTGGTTACATTGTACTGCACACAACCAGGGAGCTTCCAGGTGGGAGCTCATGGAAGAAATCACTCCTATCAGCCCCATCCAGAAGGCTGGGCTGATCTTGACCCAAGTGGTAGCTTTATTCTGTTTTGATAAGGTTCATGAGAATTACCTCCCCCTCTGATTTCCTAACCTTGAAACACTGTTGCTGCCCTTCTCGTGGTCAATGGGCCCTTTGTCCGAATCCCTTCATCTGTGCAGCGTTTCCAAGAGACTTGTGCAGCTGCCACAGAGGCTGGGTCTGTTCTGGAGGAGTCCTGTGCTGCTGCAGATCTCTTTCTAACGAGGCTGCAGATGGCTGAGGGTGTCCCTAGTGCTGGGGAGCAGTGCATGGACTTGCACGAAGCCACCCCTAGGAAGGGAAACTTAACGTGCTTAGCAGAGAAGTTTTCTTGCCAGAGCTTCCTCCTCTTTGCTCCCAAACCTGCTGTGCTCTCTCCAAAGGCAGTTTGTCATCAGAATCTAATCAGGATCTGTGCATGTTGCTGCTGGGGGCACGGCACCTGCACTGCAGTGCTGCCTCAAGCAGAGAGGACAGCACTCTTGGGCACAGAGACCTGAGGAGGGTGAACAGCCCCTCTCAAGCCTGCCAAGGTGTAGTGTGTGATGAGCAAACAGCTCAGTTTCTCACTGGCAGCTCTCCTGCTTCCACTGCCTGTCTTCCCAGGCTGCAGCTCGAAGGGATCAGGAAGGGAGGGAGATGGAATAATTTCTCTCTGGACGTTGTGAGTTAGGAGTGTACAATCCAATATTGGCTGTCTTCTGGAGTGACGTCTTTGTGTCTGTGGCTTCTTAATGAGTCCTCTGCTTGTCTGCTCTGCTGTTAATCTGCAGAATAACAGAGAGACTTTTAGCCAGGCTCAGTTCTTCAGCATCCTCTGCTCTGGCAGCCAGTGTCTGCCAGGGGTGATTATAGGAGTCTCCAGGGTGCCTGTTGTTGGGGTACAAAAGAACCACATGAGCAGCGTGCCTTCGTCCTTGCTGATTTGAGGGCTGCCAGTCATCCAGACTCCTAAGCTTGTCCTGGCTTCCCTCAGCATGAGGAAATGAACTGGGGCAGTACTTTTGGTCAGCATACAAGAAGTTTTTGTTGGTCTGCAGTGGAAACTGTGTCGCAAAGAAATCCTCCTGGCTGGCAACAGCTCGGCCTGCGCTCGCTGTTACCGCGGGCGGTGCCCCAGCGTGTAAAATGTGGAAAGCACGTTGTCTCTTCTCAGCACTAATGGCTTTTCCAAAGCAATAGGCCTGATCCTATCACCCAGGAGCCTGTGAGAGCAGGGCACCAGCCTGCCTGTGGGCACTCTGCAGCGGGGAAGGCTCGTTTTGTCCCTGAGAGTGGGGAAATCCTAGTGCGTCGCAGCCCTTACCTCATTTCCCAGCAGACAGAGGCTCTGCTGTTCTCCAGGAACATTCCTGCCTCCAGCAGGACTCCCTGGGGTCCCCCGGCCTGCCAGGTCCCATCATCTCTCGACAGGGGCTGTGGCACAGCCCCGATCACATTCAGCTCGGTCTCGGCCGGGGAACAAAAAGAGCTTTCTGTGCAGCACACAGTGCAGGGCCTCTGAAACGTTACCTCCTCTGGGCTGCTCCCCATCTCTGTCATCTCAGTCCCATTGTGGTTTGTGTGCCCGCTTCGCCCCTTTCCCAGCCAGGCAGGGGAGATGCAGCCTTGCCTGGTGGGAGTGAGACCCACTGAAGGTGCTGGGAGGGCTGCCCGTTGCAGGGGAAGGCTCTGTGGGGAGGACCTTGCAAAGGGCCTTGTCTAGAGTGAGGGCTGTGTCCTTTCTGTGAGCACTAGCTTGCTCCTGGAACTCTTTAGTGTTGTCAGTGGAGGAGGCAGCAGCACAGAGTCTTGTGGGTGTAGTGTCCTCTCTTTCTTCCAAATCCCACTGCAGCCACAGCTTGAGGTTCCTGAAATGGTAGGAGCCCAGCAGAAATCTTCACTGCTCTGTGTTGTTCAGGAAGCTGTTTTGAGACCAATAAACTTCAACATAGGTCAGTGATAATTTCACCTTCCTCAACTCTTTATGTCCTCCCTAGTTTGGTGCTCACTCAGGTTCATGTTGGTGCTGCAGTGCAGCTCAGGGACTGTGAGACAAGGTGATTGGAGTGGGTGGGCTCTCCAGGTTTTATTTTCTCCCTTTTAGCATCTTGCCTGAGAAAGTGTGCTCTGAGAAGTGTCAGGCTGGCAGGGGAAAAAACCAGGACTCATTCCATCCAGATTTATTCCTTATGGATGTCTCTTTGGGTCGTCAGACTTGAGTCAGGGAGAATGTTGTCTACATGTGAGGAAGATTCAGCTCCCCAAAGTGTAAGAGATTTGGTGGCAAGTGGAAAAGATATGCAGGGTTTTTCTTGGGTCACTGCTGGGTTGGAGACTTGTATGAGCAGAGGCACACACTTAGGGGTTTGAATGCCAGCTCAGCAAGGTTCTTCACTCACAAGAGCTTCATCCATCCTTCCCACATTAAGCAAAGCCCCAGGTAAGCTGTGAGATTTTGGGAGAGCCATATGCCAGCTAGTCGCTGATGTGGAGGATGAGCACAGCTCATCATTGTCTGGGTTTTGGCTTTAGCTTTTGTGGAAGAGTTCTGGGCTGTAGATGAGTTGTGCTTGGAATCTGTGCTTGCCCTCTTCTCATCTGGCCACTGTGTTCTCCGGGCAGATGTTCGTCGATACTTTGCAGCCTGGGAGCATCCTTGGATGAAGTGGCAGTCAAAGTGGGGCAGAAACCACCTTGTGAGACCTGCATGGACTGCACAAGCCACTCTGCTGTAACTCTGGACTTGTCTAATTTTTCAGGTATCACGAGCTGGTCACCAAGTACGGGAAGCTGGAGCCCTTGGCAGTCGTGGACCTGCGGCCGCAGAGCAGCGTGAAGGTGGAAGTTCACTTCCAGGATAAAGTGGAAGAGATGTCGATCCGTTTGGATCAGACTGTGGCAGAATTGAAGAAGCACTTAAAAACTGTGGTGCAGCTGTCCACCAGCAACATGCTGCTCTTCTACCTGGAGCAGGAAGCTCCTTTTGGCCCCGAGGAGATGAAATACAGCTCGCGAGCGCTGCACTCGTACGGCATTCGGGATGGAGATAAAATTTACGTGGAGCCCAGGATGAAGTAGCCTCTTCTTGACTCTGGGAGGCCCCCCACACACCCACACACATGCATTAAGGAGTTTTTTGGCAAGGTTTTTCTTTCGGTGGGTCGGTTGTGGTTTGGTTGCGTTTCTGTAGCGGGTGATTTGGAAGCCTGGAAGGAGGTGCCCTGATCTGAGAAGCGTGACCACCCTCCACTGCAGGTGACCTGGAGGTGACAGTTGACTTTGGTGCCTGTGTTTCAGTGTGTGCAATACCCTGAGGTTTTCTTTGATGCTCCGGTATACTCGTGACTTGGCATGAACGGTGGCTTGTTCACGCTGAAGAACGTTAGGGTCTGTCAGGCAGAAGAGATCTCGGTGCAGAATTTGACCCTTTTAAAATCCTTTTGTGAGTTTTGGGGATTTGGCTCCACCAGAGCACCCTTTGGCCTTGCTATCCAGCTGTGGTTTGAGCTTGCTGAACTGTTATTTTTTGTTTTTGCAGTTGGGTGCTGTCTCGACCTTTTGTCACGCTTGAGTTCACTGAAAAGATCTCAAATAGTGTTCTGCTTGATTCAGAGCTCAGGTACTTCGTGCATCCACTTCACTCCACTGGTTTGGTTTGTATGAGTGCACAAAATGGGGGGGAGAGAGAGAGACCTTGCTAGAAAGAGACCATTTCTTTTCAAAACACGTGCTGTAGATCCACAGTCCTGTTCTGGTTTCTGGAACTCTCTCACCCAGTGTCTGCACCGGCAGCCTGGAGGCCAAGGGACCCTTATGTGGACAGCAGTGGGTGGGAGTTGTGTTGGAAGGGCTTTTAGAATAAGAGGTCAGAAGGGGCTGAAGAGCAGATTCCCCTCTTGGCCCTGATTCATCCCCAGGGTGCTGAGTTGATCCTTCAGCATGCACTTAACCCCGGATGGGTTTGTGCTGGAGGTGGAACGGCTGAAATTGCTTTCCTGGCAGAGAGCAAGAGAGAAGCTGAAGTTTCTGTTCGTTGCTGTTGCACTTTGCCTGGGGGCCCCGGGCTGTGGGGTCCCTGCTTAGGGTCCAAACCAGGAGAATGTGTTGGCTCAGATCAGATGCTAGCAACTAGACTCACGTTTATTTGTAAAGCAGGTTTTCTCTCTATGTATTGGTTTCCCTCCACACGCACCTTGTAGGCATGGTGTGCTGCTGCTTGAATTAGCCCTTTTTCTTCTGCAGAGCAGATTTCCCTTTCTTGTGCAATGAAATCCTCCTTCCTTGATCTCTTATTTTGTTTTCCTGTGTCCTCCCTTGTTTCTCTGCCCCCCTGACAAGGTGAAGACTTTTCAGATTAGTTAGAAGCAGCTGCCTAAAAGTTTTCGAAGCTGTGCAGTGAGGGCTCTAGTTACACGTGCACTTCTGACCTTAATTTTGAACTTCTCCCTCATCCCCACATGCACTTTCTTTCCCGTGATGCTTTTGTTCACATCACCAAGCTCCTTTTATATTCTTGGAGTTGTGTATTTCTATTTTACCTAGCTCATGGGGGTGGGGTAGGGGATGAAGTATTATATCTCATAGTCTTCAGGTTCAGGATGTAGGGACTGTTTGGAGGGGAGTAGTTCTGCATCCAGAGGAATCAGTAAAATTAAAAGGGAAAGATTTTAGACAAGATAGATATCTGTGCCTCATCCCCCTGCCAAAAATGTCAACGTCGTGGCCCTGCTGAGATGAGCCATAGAGCAGGGAGCCAGACTTGCCTTCGGTAGCATAGAGGCTGCAGAGCCATGGTACCTGTGAGGCAAACGAGCAGGGAGATGGTGGCAGTGTGACATAAAATGATGCTTTTATAAGCTAGAGCTTTACTGAAGATGTATTTTCCATTTGGGCAGAGAAAGGCCTTCGCTGCCTTATAGCAGAACTCTTAAGCCAACACTTGTGTATGATAGAATACGTACACACGCATAGGGAAGGTGTGTTTAATAAGATATTTTGTTATAAAGCAAAGTTTTATGAAGATAGGGTTGTTTAATATTAGAAGCCTATTTCTCCCTTGGACGTCCAGTTTAGGTGGGTTATCCCTCAGTCGCTGCAGTGTCAGAGGGAAGGGGATGCAAAAGTGTCTCTGGCCTCATTCCACAGAGCAGTGATTGCCTGTGTGGCTGTATTTACAGCACTGGCACTGCTATTAGATGCTGTAACCACTGACTGACTCCAGCACAAGCAAATGTCTCAGTTTCAGAGAAGGAACTAAACAAAGACCATTAAAGAATTGAATGGGATGTTAAAGAAGACCCAAGTATGTGCTTTTCATGTTGGCCCAGGAGAAGCTGCTCTGTGTGTGGAGGGAGCAGTGCTGTCGCCCTGCCAGCTCGAGCTGTCAGTAAATCATGCTTTTATTGGTGGCAGACTGGGTGGCAACTGGAAGATGGAAAAAGAGAAGGCCTGCTGCATCCCAGGCAGCTGCTGGGGGTGCAGTGCCAACAGCCAGACCCTGGTCTGCTCAGGTCAGCAGTAGAAACAACACAAGTGCCACCACCTTGGCGCTTTGTTTGGGGAAGGTTGTTTCTGGATGATGTTCTCGAGCTGTTCACCTTCTGCACAGCTAGCTGAGCACTTGTGGGGTGGAAACCAAAGTTCTTCATTGGCTTCCAAGGAGAGAGAGTTGTGACCAAAGCCTGGGGATAGTTTACACATCCAGATAACTGGCTTTGAAAAGGAGGGCCAAATAGTGTGCAACCCATGCACAAAAATACCCCAGGGTGGCTTGCTTTCCTTCTGTAATGCTTCTTGGGAAAGGGCCTTGTACGTGTGCCATGTTGCTGCTTAACAGGGGACCTTGTCTTGGGGACAGAGGGGGTTTGGGGCCAACTGTGGGTGTGGAGATTCCAGGAGGGTCCTGAGGAGGACGAGCAGGCTGATGTAAATCGGTGCGATGGCACGAGGGGCTGTGGCAGAGTGCTGTCAGCAGAGACTGCCCTGAGCAAAAGCTCCCTGGCTCTGTGGCGTTCCTTGGAGGAAACAAAATAGAGTTGCAGGTTTCTCTGGCTTTTGTGTCCTTCTATCCGAGGGCTGCTTTTGGCAGGGGCTGTTGTGTTGTTCGTGCTGCCTGATGCGGAACAGTCTGCCACGGGCAGCCTGCGTGGCAGGCAAAGCACCTGGTTCAGGAGGAATTGGGTGACAGCTATATACCAAAGCGTCGCACAGCTCTCCGTGCTGAGCGTATGTGCTGTGCTGTTGTGGTTTTGGATGTGTTCCTCCTGAATATCCATGTTCTGAGCAGATGTTCCAGGGGGGTCGCTCGCCGGGCGATGCTGGGAATACGCGCGGCGTAGCGACCGGCCTCTGCACCCGGGGTGGGATCTGTGACCCCTTCCCTGGGGAGCTGGGTGCCTGCTGGTTGCAGGTCAGAGCGTGGAGCAGCTCAGGGGAACTGTGCCTAATGGTGCTCGTTGCTTCTGGGGAGAGGCTCTCGGTGTGCCCTCACCCTCTGGGGTCTGTAATGTGAGGAAGGCGAGGTGGCAGCTCTGCCCCATGGCTGGTTTTCCTTGGAAATGAGATTCTGTGGGTTCTGTGAGGGTTTGGAAATGCAAACGAGGTGCTGAAAGCGGCCCAGAGGCTAAAATGTGTGTTCCTGGCAGCTGTGCCTCCCTCATTTCAACGTGGCACTTCCAAAGGCAGTAGAGAGCCACCTTCCCCAGGGCGACGTTAGAGGGGCTGCAGCCATCTCAGGCCTTTGCCTCTGTGATTGCTTTCCTGCAGTTACTGGAAACTTCAAATATAATTTAAACATGAGGGGTCTATTCTTGCTCCCTATTAATCATGCATCCATATGTAATTTTAAAGAAAAAGGGAGAACTGGAAGTCCATCTCGTTTTTTATTCTGGTTTTTCTCGTGGGGAACATACCACCCGCTCCCACAACTTGCCTTTTGGTTTGCTCGCAGACTTAGCAGTGGAATTCAGGCCAAGTAGGTAATTGGTTTGGATCAGTTCAATAAACTTATGTAAGTTTTTACACAAAAAAACCAAAGCGTCCAGAGTTTTGTGCTTTTGTAATCCCTGAAGCCAAACATGACCCTCCATCTCGCCCACTGGGAGAGGGAAAGCTGCTGGGGGTTTTTTTTGTTCTGCTGGCTGTTCCTGCCAGCTCTCTGCCTGGTGAGCTCGGGCACGGCCACCCCACTTGTGTGAGGTGCCACTTGTGGGAAGGAGAAGTCACAATGCTGGAAGACCTAGTTGTCTTCTGGGCTGTATTTCTCTGTGGTGGTGACTCGTCTCCACTTCCAGGTGGGGAACGAGGCTCGAGCTCACTCTGTTACCTGCTCCATGCCCTCAGCAGGACTGGCCTTGGGGTTCAAATGGATTTCACTCTAGTGGAAATACTTCTTGTTGCTGATGGGGAGGGCAGTGTGGCCCACTGAAGCAGAAGTCATGGGCTTAGCCCATGCTGGCCTGCACTGAATGACCCTGCAGAGAGGCAGGAGGAAGGAGATGCCCCTCCGGATGGGATGCAGCTCCTGGGCAAACCCCCACCTGGGTGTCTTCCACAGGCTGGGCCAGCTCCCTTCAAATGGGATTGCAACAAGCTGCTCCTGTGGTTGCTCTGCTGAGGTCAAGCAGGAGACCTCTTGCTTTATCTTTTACTGTGTTTTTTCCTGAGGTCAAGCACGGGAAGTTTTCTGCTAGAAGAAAAGAGAAAAGAAAAGGAGTTGGTTGTTCAGCTCCTATGTGCTCAGCACTGCATGATGGAAGCATCCTTGTCCAACAGAAAATAGCCTAGAAGACAAAGTTTTCCCCAAAGAGACAGTGAAACCTAATCAAACTTCATCAGCGCAGACTCGCCCAGGACAAACAGGACCAGAATATTAAACTGACAAAGGAGCAGAGGGAAACCTATTTTCAACAGTTTTCTCTGTGTTACAAAGCAAAATGAGAAGAGTCCATTGATTTTCCTGTGGCTGGTAACGTGTAAAATTTGTATGGGAGAGCAAAGAAGAGCCAGGGTACACAGAGAGACAGGCTGGAAGTCTGCCCCTGGAACATGAGTCAGTGCTTTATAAGCCCCCTGCCCTCCTATTGTAGTTGCTGGTTTAGAAAAGGGAAAAAATAAATGTTAAAAAAGAAAAAGCAAGCTTCCTGCTAGCAAGGCCATGCTTGGAGGATAAAGAGAAAGCAAACTCGGGGATTTGCTGCAGAGGGAATGTACTGCCTGGTGCCCTGATGCACTGAAAGGAGCTGCTGGGGTAAGATACAGCACATCAGGAGCCAAGTGACTAAACACATGTCTATGAGCACGCAGGGTCCTGGGAAGAAAAAAATGTCTGTGCTTTTAGCTGCTTCTTGTTTGGCTGCTGGGGTTCCTGTCCCCTCTCCATTCCTGGTGAAGCACGGGGAGCAGGCGTATGGGGAGCCCAGGAGGAATACCCACCTCCTAGCAGGGAGAACAGGTAATAGAAGGTCCCCACCCAAAAAGTCAGAAGGGAAATCCTTCCTCTGCCTGGTCTGGGCAGTTTTGTCCATGAGAAAATGGCCATTTCCCACGAGAGGGGTTGGAGCACTGCCTGTCTTAACTGAGCCTCAGCGCAAGCTGTGAGGTCAGCTCTCCTAACTGGGCTCTGCCCACTGCTTCCTTCACCCTCTGGCCACTCTTCTCCTCTCCTTCTCTCATCTGACATTGATGGGGATTAAATTAAACCAGAGATCTTCTTTCGGGCTACCGGTTGGGCTCAGATGAAGAGCTTTGGTCTGCATAAGGCAGTTTGAGGCTTACACCCTCAAACCTTTGGCAGGTACTGCTCTGTGGGGCTAGTGGGTGTCCCACACACCATCAGCACGGGCGTGTGGGAGCCAGCCCAGCAGCACCACCAAGCTGGGCATCCCCAAGCCACTTGGCATCACCAAGCAGCAGCTGCCACAGAGCACCAGGGAGCCACAAGTGTCCTTTGTGGCTGCTGAGCTCAGGTGGCTCTGGGGCATGGAGGACCAGGGCACCAGCCCAGTGTCTCCCCATCCTTCAAGCGTGTACGGACAAATCCTCACCTCGGCTACACCCACAGCCCATGATTTTGGCCCTCAGAAAAGTTTTCTATCTGGCAGCCCAAGCACAGGCAGGGAAGATCCCTGTGAAAACTGCAGGTTGTATGAGCAAGAAGGGTAATAATGCTCACAGCACTGAAACTCCTCACTGGCTTGGCTAAAAACAGCAGTCAGTCCTTCCAGAGTGGATGGGAGCAGGATCGGCGCTGGAATCTCCACTGGTGGGTCGGATAAAGCACGCTGCAACAGGTAAGCCTTTCCTCCTTCACCTGTAAAAGCAGAAGGAAGTTGTGTTACAGAAAGCAAAGCAAGACTTGGATGGAAAAGTGACTCCATTGAAACTTCGGGGCACTGCGTTTGAAGAGAGCTTTAAGCCTCGCACTGTCTAATGCTAATCCTGTAACATTATATAGATGGGCTTTTTTTTTCACTTAGACAAAGGAGGAAGGGGCTCAATTCTTTGGAGGTTTCTTTTTTTTTCCTTTCCTTCAGCAAAAAGCAATGCTGAGCTGCCCAGCCACAAGCCCAGCTGCGGCTCGCTGACATTTCCATCTGAATCCACCTGAAGGGGGTGAGCTTTTGGGGAAGAAAGAGGCTTCTCTCCTTCTCCAGGCCAGAATCTGATCTCCAGATTAGCTTGCTGGTTATCAACAGAGGCAACAGTTGCGATTGCAACTCAACACTCCTCCAGCCCTGGAACAGCATTGAAGGGACTTTTCAATTGCAAGAGCGAGGGGACTGAGACATCGTTTCAGTCATCAGCAATAATTGGCAAAGGAGGACCGGCATGCATTCTCCATTGACATAGGATTTCTCCCTGCTCTCCCACCAGTGGTCTAAAATTTCAGACCTGACTGCCTCTCTAGTCTACAAAACAGGTTGGTGATATTTCTTTTCCTTACTGAAAAATATTATATTTTGGATTGTGACATATTCTTTATTGTCTGCCACGCTTCCCAAGCGCAGCCGGGCTCGCTCGTGTTCTTGGACTGCCACAGTCTCCAGTAGTCATTGTCTGCCTGGTTTCTGCTAGTGAATCTGCAGTGACTCAGATTTACAGTTTATATAAAACTCTGTCATTCTCCTTTCATCTTCCTGAGATGGGGAGTGTGGTAAAACTTGCCCTCGGTGGAAGGAGTTGTTGTGGAAAGCAGAAGGCGGTTGCTGGAAGCCCTGTGGCCAGGGTTGATGCGAGTGGCACGCTGAGGAGCAGGGAGGAACTTTCTTTCCGCTGTGTTTCATGCTTCCTGAAGCTCCTGGTAATAGGATTCAAGTGGGAGAGATGTGGGATAGACACACAGCTGGGGTAGCTCGTGGGATAGCATGTTCCTCGCTACAGTCCACGCTGTGTGTGATGTGTGCCTGGGGGTACACTTAGGAGCTGGAGCTGTTGATCCCCATACACTGTAGGACCAGGTTTATAGGGAGAACATAAAGAGGTGCTGGGATTTGTAGCCAGTGTGTCCATACGACTGAAATTCATGGGGTGGATGAAGCTGAGCAGGTAGAGGCTGGTGTTGGAACTGAACAGCATTGTAGTGTGTGGGTATATTGGGTATGTTTTGTGTCTGAAGCTGACTTTTCCCACGGGCACGCTCTTGGGAGCTCTACATGAACTGTGCCTGGGTGTAATGAAAGGAAACGATGGGCGAAGAAATCCGAGCAGGTGTTTTACCAATATTTTCTATTGGATCCATAACGAGTAACAAATTGCATTAGGCACAGAAGGAATTAAAGCTGGCACAGGATTTCGCTTTCATTTTCCCATCCTTGTGCCTCCTTCTCTCTCATTGATTCCTGTACAGCGAGGAGCTGCCAGCTGTGTAAATGTTTGTGCTTCCTCCACGCTCATCAAAACCAGTAAGTGATCGTTGTGTTAGCAGCCAGCAGGAAGGATTAGCCCAGGCCGTTGTCTGAAGCCCCTTAACTCTGAGAGCACACTGGAGCTCTGCACCAGCCCGTGTTCCCCTGGAAGGCAGCAGCATCCAGCCTGGCACTAAGCGGATCAGGGAGGAATCGCTCTGGAACTGTCTGGAGGATAGATGGCCCACGGAGAGCTGGGGCTATTGACAGCTTCCAAACGCTGTGTGAAATGAGCAGCAGCTCCTCTGTGTGGCTGTGGGCTCACTGGGACAATACCTGCAGGGTGATTTGCTGTTTCCACCATGGAGGTCTCATTACACCGCTTAATGAGCAGGCGTTTGGGGTCTGCCTGGTGGGTGGGAGAGCTCTGGCACTGAAATGTCTGCACGTTGGCAGCATTCGAGTGGCTTTGGTGCTCAGCATCACCCGGGGGTTGCTCGAGGATGTGCTTTCCTACCCCTGTGATGCATGTCCACCTTTCCTTCCTCCCTGCAGGATGAACAAGCGATCGTTTCTGGGAACCTGGATGGCCCTGCTGGTGATAGGTGTGCAGCAGAGAGGTGAGTGTCTCCTGCTCGGGGGCTGGGAGGCCAATGCTCATCAGCTGCTCACCTTGGGGCAACTGGGGTAAACTTAGTGCTTCCCAGGGGGAGGGACTGTCCATTTTAAGGGTGAGTGTGAAGCAGGGAGGTGGGTGCAGCTTGGTGGGTGTGCTGCACTGAATATGAAGCTGGCAAAGCCAGCACCATATACAGGCCACAGAAGATGTTGAGCTTGTTGAGCATTTTACATGTGTGTGCATGCAGGGCTTCTGTGCCTCTGTGTGTGTCATTTCCATGGGTTGCAATGGGCTGGCCAGCTGCTATGAAGCAGGACTGCTACAAAAAAGGAGTTTGAAAAATGTCTGGTGTTAGGGCTGCTGAGCAGGCCGACCAAGCTATGTCCAGTGAAGGGCAAACTGGATAAGCTGTAGAAAACAACACGGTGTGCTGGTCATGAGGTTCCCCTGGGGTGCCTGAAGGGGACATCTGACAGCAGACTGGGAGGTGCCTGTGGCAGGCTCACAGCAGGAAGCCTCTCCTTTTGCTAACACCCCCTTTCTCAGGGTGCATTTTGTTTTGCTCACATCTGGGCTAGATGAGGTGCTGAGCAACCAGCTCTGACCATGGGGTCAGCACTGCTTTGGGTGGGAGGTGAGACCAGCTGGCAGCCAGGGACCCCCTCGGAGCTGTGATTTTTCTGTGGTGTTGAAACTCACTAGTCTTGTGGACAAATAGAAGTATGTCCTGAGTGCAGATGAGCAGAACTGGAATTGTTCAGAGCCATGTAGCTCATGTCAGCCAAGACTGAATGTCATAAGGATGGGGCACTGCTTTGCTACTGCAAAGAGGGGAGGAGGGGGGAAGAAAACCCAGCAAAATACCCATTTGCTCTGTGAGGAGCCCCACCACTAGATAACTGGAAGAAAGGACATGAGATGACAGCAGAGATCTGTCAGGGGCTGGAATGGGACTCGTGCCCTGGGGCCAGAAGTGCCCACTTGTGACTCAAGCCGATGGATTTTAGCCTAGTAGAAAGTGTCAGGCTTGTATTGATTCTCATCAAAACCATCCTCTGAAGTATTTTCAGGAGAGACAATGACTCTTGCTGGCAGTGCCTTTTAGCAGGAAACCTGATTTTGCCAGTGTGGTGGTTTAACCTCCCCTGCCATGTGTTGGGAGAATCTGGAGGAAGAGAAAACAAAGCACCTGGGGGGGTTGAGATAAGGGCAGTTTAACAGAACAATGTAGAGAGAGGAGAGACAACTCTTTGGGCACTGGAGATGCTGGATTTGGGTGTTTTCCTCAGCAGCTGCAATGCAGAATATGCATGGTGGCCAAGTGCCAGTTGGGCTGGTCACTGTTAGGCTGCTGCCTCGAGTGCCAGGCACAGTGCACTCGAGGATGGACAACCCTGGGGCCCCCACCGTGGCCTCTGGAGTCAGAACCAGTCCTGACATTGCCATAAGGACTCTCTTCTCCCTCTCCTTCCAGCTCGCACCATGGCAAGTCTGTATCCGTTCTGGCAGAACGACACAAAAACACCCAAAGTTGATGATGGAAGCTCTCCCGAGATCAAGATCTCTGTCCCATTCATCTTTTTTGGCACCCCATACAGAAGCATTTACGTAAGTGGGGAAGCAGATCTTCCCTTTATTCTTTTCCTTGCCATTAGCAGCTGCATTTTAAACGTGCTTTCCCCTTCATCAGGAACTGGAAGATTTATTAGCACCTACCTGACAAGTTCTTAGATTTCATGAACTGATAGGTTTTATGATTAAGGAAGTCAAAGGTATATTTAATGGGCTAATGTTCATGGGGAAGGAATATAAAAGGCAATAAATTTTTTTTGTAGGTGTTTAAATGGTACAGCCAAGCTAAGGCCTTGACACAGGGAACATTATTCCTGTTGCATGACAAGAAACAAGAACATGTAGAGACCCATAGCAGGGAAAGAAAAGGACAATGCTTTGGACAAGCTGGTCTCTGTGGGTATGCCCAGTCCAAAGTGGGACACAAACCTGCCAGCCCTGTGGGTTCAAACTGAGGCAAAGACTCATTTGTTCCCCTGCCTGACCAGCTCAAGGGGGTTTCAGACCCTTGGGTGAGGTGGGAGAGGTCAGCATGCAGCGCTGCAAGGCCACTTGTTGTTTTTGGAGAGCATCCTCTGGGGAAGCTGCTTGTGGCACCATGTGTCACGCTGCTCTTGAAGGCAGCAGGCTCCATGCTTAGCTCTTTTTCCCAGGAGCCCTTGTGCCATGCAGCCCCCCATGTCATACAGCCAGGTCTCAGTGCTGCAGAGCTGCCCTCGCAAGGCTCAGTAAGACCCCAAGCTGAGCCATTCTGGGTGCTTCTGCTGCATTAGCCTGCAGGAGCCCTGTTTTGCAGCCTTTTCAGGAGTTTGTGCCACTTGGGGCTTCCTGCCTTTGGCTACCACTAGTAGGAAGAAGTTGACTCCCTGGCTCACTGGCTGTCATGATTATAAAACACCTCCTGCCTTTCCCCATGCATTTTCTGACAAAGCAGCAGCTTTGTGCTCCCCGTGGAGGCTCGTTCCAACGAAAGGGAGTCTCTTTGTGCAGGTCAACAACAACGGCGTGATCTCCTTCAACTCTCTGGTCAGCCAGTTCACCCCAGAAGCTTTCCCCCTGACGGACGGCCGGGCCTTCGTCGCGCCCTTCTGGGCTGACGTGCACAATGGCATCCGGGGAGAAATCTACTACAGGGAGAGCACGGACCCCGAGCTGCTGAGGAGAGCTTCCAAAGACATCCGCAAGCACTTCAAGGACATGTCCTCTTTCTCTGCCATCTGGATCTTCATTGTCACCTGGGAGGAGGTCACTTTCTATGGTGGAAGCAGCACAACTCCGGTAAGAGATCAAGCTGTGCTGCTGGATGGGTGTTTGTGATGGTTGAGTGTGTCTGTAGATCTGTACAACTGTCCTGGCCTTTGTGCATAGAATGGAGTTGCTCTGTGTAGCCGCTCCTTTGGGCTGGAGGAGTTCCAGTTTGGGCTGGAGTGGTCCTTGTGTTCTCGTGGGAGCCTGTACAAGTCTCCCTCCCTGCTCTCAGATCTCCTCTTCAGTGTTTGTAGGCACTGTGTCTAAACAAGGCTCTGACACCAGTTAGGAGTTCTCAGCTTGGTTATAGTCCAGTTATGTTTTGTTAGGTACAATTGCACATGTCTTTTTTTCTGCTGTGACACAAGACCTTCACTTTGCCCGTGCTTGCAGAGTGATAAAACAGAGCTGTTCCTGCAGGGGGCTGCAGGGACCTCGGAAGAAAGGCCTTTTTAAAGGAGCCCAAGTTTTGGCTGCTCTGAAATTGTGTGTGGACACTGAGCTAGGAAGGAGAAAACCAAAGGGACTAGTGACAGCATTTTTGGGATGACAACTCACCTGTCTGCGTGGGGAGGCTGATCCAGCCTGACCAGAGAGTCACGTTAGGAGCTGTGGTAGCTCTGTCACACTGCCATAAACGTGCGAGTCGTATCTCAGAGTTTGGGGACAGCAGTGTGATATTTTTCAGGGTGTGAACAGCTTTTAAATATCTGGTTACTCTGTGAGCTGTGACCACAGCTGATGCCAGGAGGTCTGTGCCAGACCAGTGGGGTGTTGCCGGTAGGGCCTGTGCGGAAGTTTGGGGCGCAGATAGCGAGCGAGGGATCCCTGCTGTCGTTTGGGGAAAGGGTTGTTTAGGATATAGCCTCTGCACTGTGAGTGCCAAAAGCTGGCTGCTTCTGTCTCGAGGACTTGGCTCTGATAAACAGTTCTGCCCTTCTCCATTTGTTAGAGAGGCTCGAGGTTTAATGCATATTTTTTGCCAGTCCTGACAGCACTTTCAGAAAAAAAGCCCAACATATATATATATATATATATTTGCAGACAGCAAGCAATATAGAGATTCATGTATTGCCTGAAGAATTACATTTGCAACACAATGCAATTTATTTTGTTTTAGAGCAGCTTTCCCGTTCAGCAGCAGCCAGGGCTCTGGGTTGGCACATGGAATAGCAGGGTACAACTTAAGCAGGAAATTCATTGCATTGCAGAGAAGCCACAGAAAACAATTTTGCAAACGTGACCTCGGGGACGCTGCAGTCGCTGCCTCTGGGGGACACCCGAGGGAACGGGCTCAGCTTTTGAGAGCCTTGTTAGATGGCTGGAGTGCTGTGAGCAATGAACAGGGGAGTGTTTCTGTTTGTGTACCTGTTTCTAACGAGGAGTGCCAGCCATCCTAAGGCTCCCACCACCCTCCGAAAGGCACCTGACTGGAGCAGGGTTTGTTGCTCCACTGAAGAGCTTTTGTTGTGCTGTCAGAGTCGTGTTGTCTCTATGTGTTAGTGCCTTCTAATCTCACGGTGGTGGGAAAACACAGGGTGTGCAGGTGTGCCAAGGTGGACCGAAGAGGAACCCACCATGGGAGGCAGAATCCCAGGGGAAGGACACAAGAGTCCAAGTGGTGGCTCCCCATCAGCTCGCTTCTCCCACTTGCCCTGGTGTGAACTGTGCTGTTTGCAGCTGCCGTGAGGCAGCTCTGCCCGCACTTCTCCATCTCCCTGACAGCTTGTACGTGCTGCTTTGCCTCTGTTTTCAAGTTTTCTCATGTCAGGAGCCTAATGCACCTTGGGAGTGACACCCTTTGTGGCATGGGAATAGTGAGTGTGGCCCTGGGGTCCCCTCCTCAATCCTCAGGTGTTGATACTCACCCCAGCCCCAGTAATTGAACTAGCAGGTTTGCTGTAAGGGAGTGTGGTGCAAAGTGACCCCCAGCCCCTCGGTTCTGGCACCTTCCCTGGGTCCCTTAGCACACGGGACCTGTTGTTAATGTGGAGCTGTTCAGCTCTCTTCATTTGCCCCTCTCAAGGGGAGAGGCCTCTTCTTTCTGCACAGCCGTGGCAGAGCTTGCCCGGGCCGGCACCGGCGTGAACGTGTCTGGAGTTTTCGGGGCTGGAAATGCAGAGTCATTTCAGCTGAAAGGGAGAAGGCCAGCAGCGGGTTGAGCAGGTAGCGAGGGGATTTGGCAGCCTAGCAAAGTGCATAATACACATGGCTGGCTTGGATGTAATCCGCCGTTAACAGCGTTGTGGGACACGGGTGCAGGAGGGAAGCGGATGAGATAACACGGCCAGGAATAAAGCTAAGACAGGGTAATGAAAGATAACCAGTCGAAACAACCCCAGTCCTGCCCAGCGTTTCTTCCCCACGAGCTTATTCTCTTGCTGCCACCTATTGGTGTACAGCTGGATGGGAGACAATCTTGTCATCCTCCAGGGTGGAGGTGGCTCAGGGCTGGGAGCTGGCAGAGCTGCAGCAGCGAGTGCGGGTGTATTTCAGCCCCGTTGGGCTGCTGCCACTCTTCCCCACGAGGCTCCTGCAGCTTGCCCAGGCCAGAGATGGATGTGGTAGAAGGGCAGGCAAGCAGTGTGAGAAGGGAAGTCTCACCTTGTGAATGTGCTCGTGGTTTTCAACAGGTAAACACGTTCCAAGCCGTCCTGATCACTGACGGGGTGTCGTCTTTTGCCATATTTAACTACCATGAAATCAGCTGGACGACGGGGACAGCCAGTGGAGGGGACCCCCTGACCGGCCTTGGAGGGGTGATGGCTCAGGTGAGGCTCTCAATTCCAGGTTCCCATCTCTGTTTCACTCATATCCAAACTACCTGAACTGAAATCACTGAGAAGAGACTTTAAAACTAAAGAATTTAAGCTCAGGAGTTATTGTGGGGAACAGAAAAGTGCAGGAATACCTCATCACTTCCTGCTAGCAAAGATGTGTGATGAAATTGGCTCTCTCTCTGTTTTAGGCTGGCTTCAATGGTGGAAATATCACCAACTTCTTTAGCATGCCAGGCTCCAGAACCCCAGACATAGTCAGTATTGAAGAAACGACCAATGTCAACATCCCTGGGCGCTGGGCTTTCAAAATAGATGGCAGAGAAATAGATCCAGCCCATGGCTGCAGCCTGAGAGGTAAGGGGGAAGGAACGTTACTTTTTTTCCCTCAAGCTTTTGGGTGCAGTGTGACAAAAGACAATGCTCTTGGGGACGCTGGTGGAGAGGTGTCCAACTGTTCTGAGCTGCTGTGGATTTGCATTTTTGCCAAGGCATCCCCTCGAGCTGCAGGGACAGAAACACGGGAGCGGGGTTCAGGTCCTGTGTACATCTCCAGGTTGCTGCACGCAGCACAAAGTCCTCGCTTGGCAAAAGGCCTGGAAAAGAGGACAGAATTTTGTCATTCGTGTCAGTGTGGGCATGCCTTGTTTGGCAGGAGAGCATCCTCTGCAGCACGTGTGAAGAAACTGTCCTCAGCCATTGTTTGCCCTTTGTCATGTATGGTGTTGCCTCTCCTGAGGGCACATCAGCATGCTCATGAACGTCTGCAAGGAGTATTTGCAGCAAATTCTCAGTCTGGATGAGGCCTGACTTGGTAGCTCTAAAAAAAGCAAGAGGGCTCCTTAAATACTTAGGAGTCGTCTCTACTCTCGGTGTTGCTTTCAGCCACCAGCAAAGACAGGTGTCATTGGTGCTAGGTTGTTTTCCTTCCTGGGATTTTAGCAGCCTGGTGTTGCTGCAAGCCTCCATTTCTGCAGCCTAGAAGCAGAACCCTGTCTGGAAGTCAGGGGTGGGTGGGACTCAGGTGTCTTGCCAGGAATATGATGCCACCGAGCTGTCATCTCGGTTCTTTTCTGTGACTCTGATGGTGGCAATGGGAAAGACCCAGGGATGGCAATTTCCTCTTGCCCCCAGAGTAGGAAAGCTGATGGTGTGGTCCTTTTTCCCTTGTTTCTGCTGGAGGAATAGCAGGTTGTTGAGGCAGGACAAATGCCATGTCCCTGCCCCATTTACAGTGTCTGTGCATGTGTCACCAACACCATGGCAATATAGAGGGATTAATAGATGCACAGAGCAACTGCACAGGGGCTCTGCTGCAGAGAGATTATTGCATTGCCATTTGACAAACAGAACTGTCAGGCATGTCCACTTGTGCTCTGGGAGTCTTTCTAGCATGAGAACATCATCACTTGCTGATGGACACTAAAGCTGCCACTGCTCTGAAACATGTGACCTATGTCCTGGACCGTACCGAAGATGGGCCGTGAGACTCCGAGGCTCTTGTAGCCCCAGCAGAGGTTTCAAGTCCAAATACTCCAGCCAGTTCCACCTGCTTGACCCCAGGAAGGCAGGCTGGACTTTGCAAAGGTGCTGAAAACCAGTCTTGGCTTTGCAGGTGGCAAGAGCAGCATGGGGAGATCCCACCACTGAATCTGCATTTCACTGGTTGCCCTCCAAGAGAGGGGTTGCAGCATGAGGGGCTGGAGTTGAGGGGACCGATGGCACTCCTCGACCCAAATGCACCACACCAGGACAGCTGGAGCAGGAGCCTTTGCAAGTGGGTCTGGCTGAGAGGCGATGTCGCTTGTTGCAGAAAATGGCTTTTTTTGTAGGAGGCAGGGAAGAGAACAAAAAGGTTAGGAGAGGTAAACTCAGGCAGTGCACACAGAGGAAGCCACGCGTGTGAGAAGTGTGAAAGATGCCCAGATGGAGGAGAGGGAAACTCTCACGGGTGTTTGCCACCCTTGTTCTCCTGTCTTCTCTCTGCCTCTCACGTCTCTCGCCAGACAAACCTGCCTCCTTTTATAGCACCGCCGTGTCAGGAGTCTGCTCAGTCTGTTGCTGTGAGATCACTCATCGCTTCCCATCGCCGCTGCTGGATGGTGTGGAAGTGACTTATCAACAGCTCTTTGGTTTCATAACTACTATGAGTGCTCTCTGAATGGGAGCGAATTGCTTCTGGGCCACTGACGACGGAGCTGCTCTTCAGCCGGCCAGGTTGCGTGAATGGAGGAATTATGGAGATGGCAACAAAGCCAAAGGAGGGAGCAAGCACTGGAAATGGCCTCCAAAGGATGTGAGCTTTACCAGGGGCCTTCCCCTTTGAGAAAATCGCATGAACGCATCTCGTGTCCTGTGATATGGAAGCAGAACAAGGGTGGCCTGTGTCCAAAATGGAAGGAATAACAGAAGAAATAGCCTTCAAGTTAGCCAGCCTGCCCAGCACCGGTCCTGGATGGAGAGCCCTCACACCATCCAGTGGACTTGAGGGGGATGTACTGTACATTGAAAACAAAGCTTGTGATCGCAGGGCTTTGCTGAGTGGCTCTTGCTGGGAGTGTGCCCAAAGAAAGCAGCCGAGAAGCCCTGTAGTAGCAGGTCTCGATCGTAGGGTCAACAGACCCCTCTGAGGACCGGTGGGGTGCAGTTAGAGCGTGTGCCTCTGTGGAGAGAAGTGACATAGTGTGGGTTTTTCCCTTTCTGTCTTTCTAGGGCAGTTTCTCCGTCAAGGGGAGATCTTCTGGGACAATACCAACTGCACCACCAAGTGCCGCTGCCTGGACTTCAACAATGAGATTTTCTGCCAGGAGGTGGCTTGCGGCCCCTTTGAAGCGTGCGAGCCGAAGACCAAGTTCTTCCAGTGCGTGCCGGTGGAGAGCAGCACCTGCGTGGTGTTCGGAGATCCACATTACCACACCTTCGACGGCTTCCTCTTTCACTTCCAGGGTTCCTGCTCCTACCTCCTCACCAGGCAGTGCTGGCCAGGCTCCCAGCTGCCCTACTTCAACGTGGAGGCCAAGAATGAGAACCGAGGCGGCTCCTCCGTCTCCTGGCTGAGGGATATTTTTGTGGAGGTCTACTCACACAAGATCGTCCTCCCCAAGGGCAGCTTTGGGAAAGCAAAGGTAAGAGCCCCACTGAAAGGGGAGATCTAGCCAAGCTGGCTTCTCTGAGGAGGCGGCGAGACCACGTTGGCAGCCTGGAGAGTGTGGGATGGCGCTTGTGGGCCCCAGGCGTCCCTGGGGGAACAGGCGTGGTGGGGAATGCCTTGGGCTTATCCGTGTCTGTCCTTCTGTGCATGTCCCTAACCCTACGACCCCGTAGTGGGGCTGTATGGCTCCCGTCTGTGTCTCAGCACGAGGGCTCTGCTGCTTCACGTGCCGGCTCAGTTGTTTGACGTTGTTCCCGCAGGTGGACGACTTGGTGGTGTCCCTACCCATCTCTCTGGAACTGGGCGCAATAAAAGTCTATCAAAGCGGGTTGTCCACGGCCCTGGAGACTGACTTTGGCCTGCTGGTGACCTACGACGGGCAGCACTACGCCTCGGTCTCCGTTCCGGGCTCGTACATCAACTCCACGTGCGGCCTGTGCGGGAATTACAACAAAGACCCCGAGGACGATATCCTCCGCTCGGACGGGAGGCTGGCCGTGTCCGTGCCAGACCTGGGGGAGAGCTGGCGGGT